GTACATTTCATGTGGCCGCATGAGTTCTGACTCAGGAAGACTAATGACTGTGTAACGTATATGATGGTGGAAGGTATGTTGAAGTACTAAATTGAGGCGAAGCAGGTGGGTTATCTCCTGCGGAGTGTTCTTAAGTGGTATGGTCCTTATGTGTGTGTTAGAAGATCTCATGTGTAATGGAAGGGTACGTGTTGAAATTTGATAAATTCGGGTCGCTCTAGAGGGTGGACTCAACCGATGTGGGGATGAATGTGAGATCTGTAGAGGATTAAACTACTAGATGATCCGTGTTTTCACAAGCTTGTACATGATTTGAGTTGAGTCTCACTGTGGCATTGTAGCATCATTAAAGTAAAAGTGTTATGAGTTGTTAAGTGTGTCTTGATATATGGCTTCGAGCCAAGTTGGGGAGGTTGCTATTGATTAGCTAATTGTACGGTTATGTGCTATGTTGGTTCCGGTTTGAGGCATGCTGGCGAATCAGTTCTGGTTGCGGAAATTGAGCCGAGGATGGCACGAGTGAAGCAAAATTTTGACAAAGGTTGTATGGTACTTCGTAGATGTGTGAGAATCACAGGATGTCTTAAGCTGTTGTTGGTAAAGAATGCTCGGTGCATGGAGCAGGAAGATGTTTGTTTGTATTGGGATGAGGTCATATCCTGCGGTGTCAAGTGCTAATGAGGCACGGGTGGTTATGTTCGTTTGATCAGGTGAATTGCAGTTTGAATAAGAAGTAAATGACTCTCGAGAATGATTTTAATGTATTCAAGATTCTATATGTAACAATCAGGTGTCTTGAGGTTGTGTATGTGGTTAGAGACTGTGTTTTCATTGGAAAAGGTCAAGACTTGTGGTATTTTATGTTAATTATGGGATTCTATGTATCAGTATCTGGAAAGTAAAGGTAACGGATTTAGATTCGTAGGAAGTTCTTCAGAGTAAAGTATTTTGGAATGTGGTGTTTCTGGGAATATTTGAGAGAGGATTCAGTGGCTTATGGGTCTTAGACAGTGTGGTCTTGTGCTTGGATCTCGTGTAGTGAGCCTGGGTTAAGGAACTGTGGTGCTACAGCAAGGAAGAATATCAAGTTGATGATGAATCAGAAGGGAAATTACATAAATGGAATAGCTTGATAGTAGACCGAATCGGTATGGTAAGGGTATGATTAATTCTTCGTATGTGATCGAGGTAATGAACTTTTACAGGCATGTTGCAGCGATGCTCTTGAGTCTTGACAGCTTGCTTAGCCTGGTTTGGATAGAAGGATTCAGTCCTGGCAGTTTAGTTTGTGGTTAGGAAAAGGGGGATGGAGCTCTCATGATATCCTCGTGTGGTATGGTATATGCGATATGTTGTGGAGGATTGGGATTTGTGTGTGTAAGGCTTCGGTTCAGTTTGGAATGGAAAGTCATTAAATTCTTAAGCAGCACGGGCAGCTGCAGGTGTTTTAAGAATCGATCTTCAGATGATTAAGGAAAAACGATACTGCTATTCTAGTGAGTTGACGGGGGTAGATCGCGGGGAATTGGTCGCGATCGCGGTGAGTAAAATGTGAGAAACGTGCCAATGAATCGCGATCGCGTGAAGCCTTTCGCTATCGCGGAGAAGAAATATTCTGTTGTGTTGATCCCACTTCGGAAGCTTATATCTCACAATCTATAAGGAATTTGGAGATGATCCAAAAAATGAAAATTGTAGCCCTTTGTGTCTAGTTTTTGGAAATATAAATTAATTGGAATTTAAAGTTGTGTACAAAAAGTTATGGTGGTTACACTATAGGCTGCCTGGAAGGTCTCTAATACACAGGGATGACTTTGGAAGCTTATATCTAGCAATGTATAAGGAGTCAGGAAATGAGCAACATATGAAATTATAGCCTTATGTGTCTAGTTTTCAGAACATTAAACCATTCGTAATTTGGAGTTGTGTGCAAAAAGTTATGACCACTATACTGGAGGCTGTCCGGAAGAGCTGGGAACTGTTCATCGCGATCGCGAAGCATTGTCCGCGATCGCGAAGAGTAAATTTTGGGCTGGAAAAATTGTTCTCCGCGATCGCGAAGAGTAAATACCTGGGCAGAATATTTTATAACACGTCAGTCGCGATTTTGGGGTCATTTTACACCCATAATTGCTCGTTTTTGGAGATTCTTGAAGGAGATTAACGAGGGATTCAAGGGGGAACGTTTGGAGGTAAGTTTCTTGGACTCAAAACTCGTTTTTATTGTGAAATCCATCTAGGAAATCATTGAATTTTTGCTAAAACGGAGGAATAGGGCTTGGAATTTTCAAATTTTTAAATTGGGATTTGAAGGGTCAATTGTGGATGGATTTTGATGTTCTTAGTATGTATGAACTCGTGAGGAGATAAGGAATACGGTAATGTGAGTTTTGTAATTTTTCGAGAAGTGGGCCCCGGCTCGGGTTTTGCTAGTTTCGAGATTGTTGCTATTTTTCGACTGTTTTTGATTGGGTATTGTCCCATTGGCATATTGTGATGTATTCGCTCTGATTTTGGTTAGATTCGACGCGCGTGGAGGCTGATTTGAGGGGCAAAGGCGTCGCGGGCTAGAGATTTCGCCGGTTCGAGGTGAGTAATGATTGTAAATGATATCCTAAGGGTTTGAAACCCCGGATTTGCACCCATAGTGCTATATTGGGGTGACTTGCACGCCAGATAGAGAGCGTGGGGTAGGGCACCGTTGGGGATTGTGACTTGGTCCGTCCCGATTGTTGATTTTACCGCGTATTTCGCTATGACTTGTTGTTTTTCACTAGGACTTGGGCTTATTGCCATATTTGGGACTTATTGCCGACTGTTTGAACTCCCTATGAGTTATCATCACTGTTTTCCTCACTATTTGAAATATTATTTGAACTCAGTCCATTGTCATTACACTGTTTCATGAACTCAGCTATATTTTTACTCAACCTCGAGTTTTAACTGATATTTGAACTACTGTTTGAGCTGAGCATTTTTGTTTCTTTACTGATGCCCGAGGGGCATATGATTATTTTTGGACTGATTGAGGCCGAGGGCCATATGTGAGGATATGCTGAGTGATGTGAGGAGGCTTTCAGGCCTCGAGTGTATTGTGAGGAGGCTTTCAGGCCTCGAGTGTATTGTGAGGAGGCTTTCAGGCCTCGAGTGTGCTGTGAGAAGGCTTTCAGGCCTCATGTTGATATGTACAGGCTTTCAGGCCTTATGATGATATAGCGCTTGGGCTGTAGGAGCCCCTCCGGAGTCTGCACACCCACAGTGAGCGCGGGTACCCATCCAGAGCGGTTAAATTTTAGACAGTGGTAACAATGACACTGTCATACGCGTTTTGGTCAGGTAACAATGACTGACCAGTCAGGTAACAATGACTGACCGGTGGTAACAATGGCTCAGTAATACGCGTTTTGGTCAGGTAACAATGGCTGACCGGTCAGGTAACAATGACTGACTAGTAACGAAAATCATGCCCGAGGGGCGAACCTTTATGTGCTCATCTTGCATACTTATTTGCATTTTTACCTGCTATGGTGTGATATTTGTGCCCGAGGGGCGAATTTTCTGTGCTAATCAGCACTAACTATTTTGAACAACTTTTGTAATTATTGAAAGGACCATTTTCAAAAGAGATTTGAACTGAGCCGAAACATTCCTAAAGAGTTCTCTGATGTCACTGTTTTCTCGAAAATTGTACCCGGCTTCTGTACAGCCCGTTGGTTGCTTTACATGATTTCTTGCTGCTCAGTTATTATTTACTTCTATTACTCACTGAGTTGGAAGTACTCACTTTACTCCCTGCACCTCGCGTGCAGTTGCAGGTATCGTTCACCCGGTAGCGGGTTATTAGCGGATTGAAGGTATTGTTATTGTAGCTGAGCAAGGTGACCGCCAGCGTTCGCGGCACCGGATGTTGTCTTTTGTTTTCCAGAATTTTTCTTTATATATATTTATTGGCCTGTAGTTGTGTTAAGGTTTCTTTAGATGCTCGTGACTTGTGACACCCCGGTCGGGTTGTGTTGGGTTGTAAATACTGGTTATTATTGTCGTCAAGCTGTATTTATCTATTCATTTATGTTTAATAAATGTTAAAGAGACAATTTGGGTTAGTTGGCTGGCCTTGTCTTCACGAGAGGCGCCATCACGACCGGGTTTGGAAATTGGGTCGTGACAATTTTAAGCCAGAACACTTGAAAAGAGTGCGAAACTTGGAATTTAGGTGTAAATACATTGCTAATATCCATCAAATATGACATGCTTTATGTTTTAAAGAACAATTATGGTCAATGATTGAAAAGAAGCCACTGCAGCTAACTTCTACTTGCAGCAGAAGCTGCATTCCACTTGGCTTGAAAATTTGCTATGAAACCAAAAGAGTTACACAACCTTAAGCATTAAAACGGAAAGTAATTTGAAATGTTTCCTCCAAAACTGAAAGTTCCATCTCTTCAATTTGAGATGAAACACTACCTTTAGGGATCGTTTAGTACGAGAGATAAGGGATAATTAATCCCGGAATTACATTTAAGAAGAGTTTATCTCATGCTTGGTTGGGATAAAATCGTGGTATAACCAACCTCGGGATTAGTCATCCCGGGATTGTAGTATTTTTTTTATCCCCATGAAAAAGTGGAATAACTAATCAACAACCCTGTATAATCCCACAAGTGAGGTTTGGGGAGGCTAGTGTGTACGCAGACTTAGACCTTACCCATACCCTTTGGGGTAGAAAGGCCGTTTCCGATAGACCCTCAGCACAAGATGTAAAAAGACAATAGACAGTGACAACATCAGAAGCCATAAAGATAGAAGAGGTGGAATAACTTTTCCGGGATAATTAATCATGAGATAACTTGTTTCCCAACCAAACGACCCCTTAGTTTCTTCCACGAAACTCATATCTTTTTCTCTTGGACAGTACAGTGTGAGACAACTATGAATACTACAATCATACAGAAAGCATCGACACAAGTGAAGCAGCGGAGAAATGAAGCAACTTTACAGAGTATTGCAGAAATGAGATGCAATTCATATATTCATTTCCTGTAAAGCTAAGTGTAATTTGCAACAATTGGGGTGGCAATAACATTATAAGAATTTGTTCAAGTTCAAAACTCCCTTTTTCTCAACATTTAATATATAATTCCCTGATTTAAATGAGATTTAACATTTCCTAGCAATGAATTCACATGTAAATATATCATCCAAAGTCGATAAAGACTTCCCAGCACCCAAGACTGGAATGATATTTAAAATAGGCTCAGCATTTACTTTAACTCTTTGACTCATCTGAGCAAATTCATTAAAAACATCAGTGAAGATTTGAGACAATGTTCCATGAGGGATATTGAGGCTACCTGCAAAGTAGAGCCTGAAATTCTGCATAAGGAGAGACTGTATCAGAGGTGGACTAGAATACTTTATCAGGGATGAGGGAGTCTAGAAAAGGGCACATTGTAAAAGAAAGATCTTCATCTTGTCAAAATTTGTGAAATCAAAATGTTGGGTCGGGGAAAGAAACTTACCATTACGTCGTCCCAAGAGAAATTATTCTCCAAAAGGACTCTATCAAGACGATAAATACAAAATCTTGCGATCATTATGACTTGTTCCTTTTCAACAGGACCTTTGGACTTGACACTGGCATGACCTGCAACATTGGCCAGGGAGCAGATTTTTGCTGCAAGCTCTTCAGTAACTGAAAGAATTGCTGTGCATACTTTCCCATAAGCAATACATTTCTGAAGGCAAACGTCATGCCACGTTTCATACTCAAAGCCCCAATAACCTTGTCCAGTGGATTGATACTGCATGGCATGGTCACTTGGAGCCGACATATACTCCCCAGTGTAAAGCATGGGCTTCACTTCAACCAGTGCTCTACATAGAGGAACTGTATTCAATAAAATGTTTGACGAGAAACACAGATAAATAACAGGTCATTTTGTTCTCATGTCATACTGACGGGAAGAAAAACAACATAAGCCATAACAAGAAGCACAAATGCAGAGGGAAATAAAACAACTATAGCAGATACCCGACAACTTTACAGCTAACTATCCGCATCACAGTTCTTGGAAGCGCAAACATTAGAGTGTCATTTTATACTATGGTCAAGGGAGCACCCCAAACACAAATTACCTTTTTGGCAGATCAGGAACAAGAATATATAGGAAAATTGGATTTAGGACTCTGGTCTTCTTTGCGCCCTCAGCATGGAGCGACTTCATTAGATTAAGAAGTGCTTCTGTCTTGTTCTGAACAACAACTCTTTCGGACGTTTCCATGGCTGCTGAACAATATATGACAAAGACTAAGGCTGATGTAGATATTGAACAATTAAAGCATCTAGCCACTGCTTCACTGTTTTCCAGTGCCTGTTCAAGTTCAGCAACTGGACCTCCTTCACAGAGCACCATTGTGGCTGGATCAAGCCCCAGCTGTCCTGCCATGTGTAGTATGTCATTGTGCAATGTAGCCTGCAACATAACGATATGGTAAATGAATCAGAAGCAAATTTCCAATATGACAATTCTCCTGAGTCCTGATAGCAATTGAAACTAGAGATATGTAGTTAACTATATGCTTTATATCAAAGTAAGAAGCAAGGCGGATTTAAAACGATAACCGTGTTGCCCAGGAATGACATGAATGGTATAGTATCTGAAAGATCAGTACCTGGCTGTATGGACCAATACAACTAGGGGCCCAGCAAGAAATGCTTTGTACATGCAAGACCTTTTTAGTAGGATCATTTGCCACTAAAACTTCAATATATGCCCTCCCTAAACCAACTAGCAATAGAGGGAGCTCAATGGTAGACCGTGATGGTACGCCAAAACGACACTTATCCTGAGTAATATATCTGACATAGGTTTCATTTGCCACTGCAAACTCATCCATATCGGCAATATAAAGATGGATATACAGTACATTTTCCCAAGAGCAACCATTTTCCACGAGCAGAGCTTCAATTCTCATTAAAACAACCTCCAGATCCTCCCGCAAATCTGGCAATCACAAGGCTAAATGCATTGGAAACTAAAAAGATACAGAGGAGATATGAGAGGAACTAGATCAGAGAGAGAATTCAACGTATAGCACAATACCAGATAAGATCCACCTACAACATTAACCTTCTACCATAACTCGATGTTTTTACCTGCTGAATTTTTACACGAATCTTGGAGCCAGCAAGAAATAGAAAAGATATCATCCTTCTTTGTTTTTGAAAATTTGAGCTCCTCCTTACTGACATCTGGTCGCTTAGAGCTTACAGCAACAAATCCGCCACCAGCTTCGCCTTCTTGTTGGGCATCTCCATGCACTTCAAATACTTTATCCACGTTCTCCTGGAAGACATTGCTGCCTTCATCAATGGCATTTGAAGATATTGACTCTACCTTCCTTTCGAGGTGGAATGCCAGGGGATGGACGATGCCAACAGGGGCTATGGCATCTGAAGAATGCAAGACGATTTGAAATTCATCCAGCACAATCCGCGCATTCTGCGAGAGTAAAAAAAATAAGACGTGATAAAGCAAGAAAAGGGACGTAACATTTAAACACTAGATCTATATTCTCCGACTCTCTGTCATTTCATTTTTACTTCACTTGACTTTTGAAGTTCAAATTGAGCTTTGCTCAGCTTTTTCTTGGACTGCGCAACGCAATTTCGCCCACCAAAAAATAAAATGAATAATAAATCCCCACAAAAGATACATAACTAGATGCATAAATTATGTACAATCGCACTATCATTATTCAATTTGACTTATGAAATGAAACCTATACAAAAATCATGGAACAGAGGGAGTAGAATGTTCCCCAAAGCACTGGTAATACTATATCACGGAATTAGTAATAAAGCTAGCTTTCTTTTTGAGATCATATAGTGCAACCATATGCTTCCTGCCTAGGACCACCCAGAGAGAGAGAGAGAGAGAGAGAGAGAGAGAGAGAGAGAGAGAGAGAGAGATGAGAGCTGGTTGAGTGAAGAATGACAGGGTTTGGGGGGGGGGTCGTTTTGGTTTAATTTTGGAATGGGGAATGGGGACCGTTGATCTAAATGATCAACGGTCACGATTGAATGGAGTAGGTGGGTCGGGTATGGCTTGGGTTTGGGCTTGGGTCCGGTGGGTTTTCCAATTGGGTTGGGGTCTATTTGATTTAGGTTAGATTGGAAACCCAATTTTGGCTATAAGTTAAATAGCCATTTTCCCATTTAATTTGTAGAAAATAGTAGATAATTTCTAAAAATAATTTAAAAATGCTAAAATGATTGAAAGTACATAATTAGTAATTTAAAAATACATGATCCAATTTTATGCATGTAAAACCTAATTAAACCTTAAAAGGGCTAATATTGCAAATATGTGCACTTTAGCTTTGAAAAATACTTAATGTGATTATAAAAATATGTAAAAATTACCTTAGCCATGTTTTGGCATAAACATGGAAATCCAATAGATGAAAAATAATAAAACACTTGGACATGCTTACATATGCACATATATGCTATTTTGAAGGTATTTTGCATATTGAAAAAATATATAGGGAAAAATTGGGTATCAACAAGTCCTACATACACANGAGAGAGAGAGAGAGAGAGAGAGAGAGAGAGAGAGAGAGAGAGAGAGAGAGAGAGAGAGAGAGAGAGAGAGAGAGAGAGACTTGCTTTAAACAGAGGGCAATCAAGGGTTAATGATTCATACTCTCCACCTTCACCACAGACATTTATTCCATATAACCTGCCAAAAACAGACATAAAATGAGGAAAAATTGAATTAAAAAATGCCCAAATTTTTGCTAACTGAATCATACTCTTTTAGCTTGTGGAGATGGGACTCCAGATATACTAGCTCTTTTCCCAAGTGTTTTGAGGGGTCCAATCCAATAGCAGCAACCTAAAAGATTAAAAAGTACAGCAACTAAACAAAGAGAAAAAGCATCACTTCTCATCCAATTTACAAGAAGTTGAGAGAAACGTCTATCCTGAGGTGCATATATAAGGAAGAGAACACTTAAACAATAGCAAGCAGCCACTTGCGCCACACACAATGCTCTACAGCTGAAAAGAACTTTTTGGCTTTGTCATCTCTGTCACTGAAAAGATCATTAATTTTGTTTTTATATCTAATATGGAGTTATGAGCATGTAAACCAATCGATTTCGCAGAGATCTGACACTTCTGAAAGATGAATGCTTTCTTAAATTATATTTCTATGCTCAGCGAATGTCAAATATCATATTCTGAATTGGAATATAATAGAAACATAAAAAGTCTCAGTTCTGGAAATAATCGAAATTCAAAGAATTAGTATCTCCAGTTTCTAGCTAAGATTCTGGAGCAAAGAAAATGGATTTATTGCACATCTGTTTGTAAGAAAGGGGGGAAAAGTTGAATTTCAGGTTTTAGAGGTGATATTTTTGTGCATAGCTCAAGATAAATGTATATGCGTTTCTCATATACATGCACTGACTTGGTCGTGTACCTTGTCAAGAAAACTCTCGAAAGAACAAGATAAACTTTTATAAGCGAGTCAAAATGCAACTTCAGCTAGCAACGGGTGTAACAGCAGCTTACTCAGCTTCTACTGAAGAAAGTCAAAAATCTTTGGTTTCTTTCTCCTATAGATATTAATTTCATGAAAAAGTAGGAGTTTTCTTTTTGATGAAGGAGTTTTCTTCTACTCATTCTCCTACAATAGAACTTTAAGCTAAATCAGTTTGGTTAACAAGAAAAAGTCTCCATAGTTTCTCGTTCTATATAAATGACATTTTGATGGCACTGTCAATTCCAAATGTAGGCGGTTCCCTCAAATCTCAAGCCATCCACTGATTCCTCTGTTTCTCAAGAAAAAGGTAGAGTGACAGAGAGAACTCCATCCCAAAAAAAGCAATCACAAACCCCCAGAAGTATAATAATTACATGAGAAATCTCAAATAGAAAGAGCTTAGAGATCCCTACCTTCACTAATATTGCAATAATTCCACTTCTTATCTGCCGGGGTTGGGGAAACAAAAAGAAAAGAAGAGAACTTCAGCTCAAACTTGGAACTGCAATGATTAATTTCTATATTTCTAGATCTATCACATATTTACCATTTCCTGAAGAAGAAATGATTGATCTTGCTTCCATAGGTATGCCAAAGAAACAAGCCCTAACCTTGAACATACACTTTCCACTCGTAATCTCTGGTAGTCAGATGCAATTGCACCAGAAGATACTGCATCAACAGAAGGTATCTGTCTTTTTACCTCATTCAACAATATAAACATATCTTCAACTTCATCACCAGGAGTCATGCTGTAACTTAGGTCATGATGCCTGTAAAATCAAACTAGAAAAGTTACAAATAAATATTAAGCTGTAGGTATGTTAGCTTCTTTTAACATCTATGTCTTGTTCAAGTTAACAATTACATTGCTAACAGCTTACAGAGATTATTCAGGCAGCAGTATTAGAGAAACAATTATTTGTCCATTCTATCTGCCTTTTTAAATAGAATAAAGCAAACCAAAACTAAGATAATTTCACATCTCCATTCTTTTGACAAGAAATAAACTTCAACTGTCCAGTTCTTATAAGCTATGTTGCGCGGACTTTCCAAAATGCTGCCGCACCCGTGTCGGATCCTCCAAAAATACACTACTTTCGGAGGATCCGACGATATTTTCGTAGAGTCGGAGCAACATAGTTTATAAGTATACCCAAGTAATAGATTTTTCAAAATTAGGCAGTTGGTTGCAAAAAAAGACTTCTTGCAAAAGGGCTTGCCTTGTGGATCCTTGAATTCGCCTCCGGAATAATGGGAGTCCCATGCATTTTGCATAGCTAACAACTATCTGGTGCCCAACCTGCAGATAAAGTTGGCAAACATTCTAAATGAAATGGTATCAAGGAGAGGAGAAGAATATCCAATTTCATTCTTATTTAACAAAACTTATAATCACAATTCTATTAATTTGTTAAAAAAAGAGAAGAAATATCCTCAAATACAATAGGATATATTAGGAAGGGGATCAACCATACTCATTATATATATATAACTTCTCCTGCAATCTAAACAATCAATTGACTATACCTCAATCTGAAATTAGCTCGGCTTTGGCCAGGTGAATCCTCTGTATTCCCTTAGCTGTATTCAGGTCTCTACTGTACCAATACTAAATAATGTGTCTTTTACGCAAATTATGGATTCTCTAAGTCTCATATTTATCCGTATAAGCACATAAACGTCTAACTATAATAAAAGGAATACTAACAAACACAAAACATAATGTAAGTGTAACATCAACTAATTTTTAGTCCCAACTATTGGATCCCCCATATGGATAAATGGCTTAGACTGCATTCTGTTTCTAGCTAAGTCATATACTGACTCTCAGAGACATTAGGTCCTTCGAAACAACTTACCTCCGTGTGATTTTAAGTCTATATCATTCTTTTTAGCACATTTAATCATCATGTTGTCGCACCTACTAACCGCTGCATCTTTAATCATCATATTATTCCCTAGGTCGTACCCCTTGTACTCTCTATGAGATGTGATTATATACTTCTTGCATCTTATATAACCGCGTATCCGTCTTAATATCCGAACTTCTACGGCATTTCTCTCGTGTAAGTGTTGGCCTTACGGTCCCAACATTCAAAGCATTGCTGCTCTCACAGGTATTCCATCCGTGTCAAGATATTTTCTTTTGATAAAAATTAAGTAGAAAAAGTTACTGCTTTTTTAATTAGAATCTCGAAGCAACAAAGGAGATCTCCACCAATCACAAGTAAAAAAGAAGAAAGAAAGAAAGCAAAGGAAAACAAAATTCAACCACTTTAAGAAATTAGCAGCCTATAACTACCCAAAAGATCCAAATATATGGTTTATAAAGCTATAATCAGATTGAATTTTGTAAGTTAAGGCTGTTTCCCTTAAGCGTCAGTGCCATTTTCGCATACATATAAAACGAATTTCTCTACTTCAACACATCTTCAATAAAAACAATCAAGCTATGAGAAATCCTCTCTATATTATGCATAGAGAGAATTCATATGGTGGACTTCAAGTACTCCCTCCATCCCGATTTATGTAATACTCTTTTCTTTTTTAGATTATTCAAAAAGAATGAAACTTTTCCCCATTTAGAAACAATTTAACTTTACACTTCCCATTCTACCTTTAATGAGATTGATTTATAGCCTCAAACGTATATGGTTTGTTTTACCACAAGTTTAAAAAGTCTTTCTTTCTAACTTAAACTTTGTGCCGAGTCAAACACCGCCACATAAATTGGGACGGAGGGAATATTACTTTCCTTCTTAACTTATACCCAAAAAGAAACACTTTTTTGTATTAAGAAATAATTCAATTATAAACTTTACATTTACCCTTAATGAGAGCCACAAGTTTCAAAAGTCAGACTTTCTTTCTTAAACTATGTGCTCAGTCGAACAAACACATAGGAGTAAAAGTTGTGCTCAGTCAGACAACATCACATAAATTGGGAAGGAGGGAGTAATAGAACTTGTTGATTGACTGGGAATTACAAAGCTAACCACATTATCACTATGTAACAAAGAGAAGAAGAAACAGAAGCTCACAGTTTGATACATGTAACTATCAAGCTCATCGGTTGCGTCATCCGCGGGAATCAAATTAGCCAACGCAACAATCTGAAAAATTACCACAATAATAATAATAATAATAATAAAAATTAAAAAAAGCATGTAAATTTTAACAAACACCTAGGTAAAGAGAGTGAGAAAGATTGAGGACCTCGTGACCATATTGAATGCATTTCATCATGGCAAAGCAACTGTCTTTGCCGCCACTGACTAAAGCCACGACTTTCATATTGTTAACCGGCGACGAGAACTGGCACTGTTTCCGACCTGTTGCCGAGATGATTGCGCCGGCGAAGTAGGGTTTTTGAAATAACGGTGAGTTTACGCTGTTTGTTTGACTTCAGTACTAAGGTCTTATGCGTTGATATTTTTGAGCTCTGTGATTAGTACGTTTTATTGGGCTCTTGCCATTTTTGCAAGGATTTAAGACAGTGTAAAGAAATTTTCACCTAATGAAGATAAAGTTACCATTTCTTTTCCTTTTTCCACATAAAAGTTAACTGAACTTCAATTAAAGTAGTTCAAGTTAATTAAATCTTAATTAAGTAAAGTCTGACTGTTATGGAGCAAGACTTAGCATTTCACCTCTTGACATGCAAGGGCGGAGCTAGAGTGCTAGAAGCAGTTCGGCCGAACCAAGTAGCTTTGGTTCTTTCTATCTATCTTAAAATATCTGCTGAATATGTAAAAATTATTAATTTAGAACACGGTAAAACGATTAAAATCTCAAACTTATAAGCTTGAAAAATTTGACTTCGCCTCTATTGACATGTGACTAGGATTTAGGAAAGTTAGCGTGAAGCTTAATTAGCAAGCTTAAAAAACTTAGTAGCGGCTAAACCAATAGCATAAATCTCTTCTCTCTTCTATGTAGGGAATTTTCTCTTCGTTTAAATATTGTAAATCTGCTGAAAATTTTCCACGAAGGTTTTCTCAAATTATACATTTGACTACACTATGTAAACATTTTACAGACAAATCCATTGTTACATAACAATGGGAAAACGCTTTTCTTAAATTTGATTGGTTAGATGTTGTCATGATAAGCTAAAGAGAAAGCTTTTGTTAGTTTGATTTGCAATCAAACAAATTATAAAAGAATAAACAAACAAATGAAAATGATTTTGAGTTGAACGCATTGAATTGCTCAAATGGAAGCACCCATTTTAAACCCAATGAGCCAACTTGAGTCGAGTTGAACGCATTGAATAAGCAACTTGTTCATCGCTTCAGCGCTGTAAACCATCCGGATTTAATTCAATCTTCCCGTTTGGTATCCCTACCCAACTACAGGAATTACAATAATACTTCAAAATTTACTTCAGCCTCGTTAAGACGCCAGTAAGATTAGCCAACAAAAGTTATATACTCGACATCAACATCGGACTAGAAACTAGAAAGACAGACGGGAATAGAGAAGCCATATCATTACACAGTCAATACAGAACTACCAAGATTCACATGCCACTAAAGGAGTCTAATCCACAAAAGAATAAAGCGGATCACATGGACTGTGGGACTCGCCATACTAAACCTCTTGAAAAACTTCTGTATTTGCAACCACCAAAAATCGGCACCAGAACAAATAATTAAGAATATTGACTTCTTACAGCTAAAGAGAGAACAAGTGCGAGAAGGTCTGAACTATCAGCATCTAGTTTTGGATTAATCATCTATCACCAATCGCGCACTTGCAAAGCCCTTGATATTTCGAGTCAGAAGATCCCACACTAGCATGTCCTTATAATTCATGAGAGCATGCTCTGTGCAGATCAAACAAAACATTCCTCCCTGGCTAATCTCTTAAAAACATCTTTGATGAAACACACGGATAAGCTCGTCCCACTTGACTGTTCCCGTGCAAATTAGCTCTTTGTGACTCAATAGCCAGCTTGAAATAAGATTTCTATAGGCACACCTGGCTGGAGAAAGAACGCAGCTTTTAAGAACATGAGGTCAGGCCGCTTGAAAAATGGGGAAGCAATATATCCACATAATGCCTACCTTGTCCATTTGCCAACTACAGCTCAACACATCAAATAAGAAAAGGTGGTAATACACTACAAGCAGGAGGGGGCCAAAGACGTAAAATATCTACAGCCACATATATGACATGAAAAAGATATGCTCTGTCTTGACTTAAAATCAAGACACTGTGGATATTTTACATGACTTTGCCACCTAAAATCTTTTAAAAGTGGATTTGCAATAACTTGGTGTGATAATCAATCTTTTTCATGAATTACTACATCTGATATTGATGCTCGTTAAGGGGTATGTATTTTTCTCCTATATTCAAGTAATTTAGTAAATGCATGTACGTTAAGTTCCAAGGTACGGCACATCCTTGGATAACAGCTTTGCTTTAACATTATATGCAACCCAACTAATGTGCATATATAGCAATGGTTGTATATCTGTTAAGAAAGTCTCTCCCCAGGTAATTGTCAGTGAGAAGTTGATTCTAGTCAACAATTAGACTTTCTTCCAGATATTATGCGTCAAGAATGGACATAATGTTTTACAGCGTCAAACACCAGCGAGATGGCATGCGAAGAAATCATGGTTGGCAGAATTATTGATTTATGTAGATGCAGGCTTAAATGATCTATGTAACTGCATTATCCATACCATTCTATCTCAAGACTAGAACTCAGAAGGGAGCCTCGAGTGATTCATCCCAGACATCTGCACTTCCATTGGAGGCATCTTCTGCATCTTCCTCCATTGACAGCCTAATATATTCCCTGTGTGCGAAGCGATCCCATTCAGTCAGATTTGGGTTCTCACGCTCCTGGCAACAAGAAGAAACTCATGTCAAGCACTGGTAACAACGACCAAACAACACAGAACTGCATTATCAACCATACATTATCCTTTTAATTACCTGACGAATTAGGAAGGGATCACGGGTTTCAAATGCCATGAACTTATTGAGGTTAAAGAGTATGTTAAAAACACTACCAGAGAGCTTGCTCCCCTTCAAATCACGTAATGTAAAATAGCTTTCATTCTGCAAGAAACAAACTTTAATTACACACATTATCGTACTCAGGTTAGAAAAACAGATGATACAAACTACAGGTCTCTATCACGTAAATGCACCTAGTCAAACAACGTAATAAGTTCAAGTAAGAACAACATACATCTCATTATTTTTTTAAAAATACAACATACATCCGGATGCAACAATAACTATGCCTTAGTTTCAACTAGTTGGAGTTGGCTATATGAATCCTCAAAATTCTTTCTGCTCTATATGGACCTCATTCGGTTCCAACAGTCAATAGTTTGTCTTTTAAAACCAATTCAGGGTGCCCTAATACTAGAGAGTTTGATTCTCCACATTTCTAAACATACAATTTCTCTAAGCAAACTAGAAAGCACATACTAAACACCCAGAACTAAAGTGAGCGTATCAACAAGACAAAGCCTTAATCCTAACAAATCATAATCACAACATATATCTCAACAAAATTAAAAGAACCTCTAACTAACTACCACATCCAAAAGAGAAAACTAAAGAGAAATCTTACTCAACATATTTAACTTGGGTATGAAAAATGGTCGATCATTATAAGTGATCTTCAAGAACAGATGATTATGGTACAATAACTAAAACCTTAAAAGGACACAAGATAACAAACAATAGGAAATGCGACAAGTTCTAAATTACCTCTGGACTAATCATGTCAACTATCTGACACAAAATATCCTCAAAAAGCACTGGCTCTTGGGCCATGCATTCCATTCTATGTAACTGCTCCTCATAGAAGAATTGCATTTCATTCCTAGTTATAACCCCATTTCCATCCATATCTATGCATTTGAACCTGATCCAAAAAGAAAATGAGAAAGAAAACAATGCAGTGTCAACTGTGTACGTGTCCATCTCATAAAACAATACGCTTACAAAAACTAATTCACTGGAGTTAACTGACCGATCTGTAACAACTTTACTCAGCCTAACACACATCTTGGTTGAAACGAAAAAAGCAACAAAAAAAAGTACCAAGGCTACTGCCACACTCTCCACTAAACAGCCTTTGCCTGATGGTAGGAATACTTGTACAAAGAAATGCCTAAAATTTAGTAAGCACAGAACCAGCGATTTGACTACAGTGCATTCAACCAATTCATATTGTTTCGCCAACAATGAACAAACAAGAGAGCGTGCACCAATGCCTTTAGTGTGAACCACAAATAGAATGTCCTACTTGATAATCAAATGTTATGCTTCAAAGTTCTCAGTGCTACACTGCTACTCTCCGGTTCATTAATGTATATAATATCAAAGAAATAAAACACTCCCTCCGTCCCAAATTATGTGGCGGATTTGACTGGACACGAGTTTAGGAGAGAAAGGAAAATTTTTGAAACTTGTGGTCTTGAACAAGCCATGGACAATTGTGGGGATATAAATCATCTTATGAAGGGTAAAATAGAAAGGATAAGGTCAAAATTGTTTTCAAATATATAAAGGTGTCATTCTTTTTTGACGGGAATTTTTTCTTTGATGGGTATATATAAAGGTGTCATTCTTTTTGGGACAAACTAAAAAAGGAAGTATGCCACATAAATTGGGACGGAGGGAGTACCTCTTATTTTTTAGACGGGAAAAATATAAAAAAGTAGATAATTTCGTGATATTATATACATTATTGAACCGGAAAGAAAATTCTATTATAGAGAAATTACTACTTTTTAAACATCATAAATAGCAAAAAAATTCATAAAACATTGTTCCATGTCTCAATATTAGCAAAACTTTAGATCCCCACTAGTATTTTCCATTTATATTAGTTTTTCTTTCTCTTTTTTCTTTTTTTTTTTGGGGGGGGGGGGGGGGGGGGGGTAAAGATAACAAAAATTGATTGGATTGTCATATGCAAGTTATAACACAATCGGCTCCATAAAGGTGCTTCAATTATAGTCCAGTCTTGCGCACTATAAGGATCATTCGCTGCATCTCAGAATCTAAATAAACAAATAATAGACCACACGCATGCAATTTGCAAGGAAAATCTTATGAACCTTCATGATATCTTAGTCATTCAAATAGACTATTGTTAGGCATTAAAATATCCATCACCTAACCCCTTCTGCCCTTCATGTGTTTCCCAATGCCAAATAACGGCCAGTTGTATATACTAGGGAAAATTTTCTTTTTAAGTAACTTTCCACCAGCATCTTGTCTTCTCTTTCACTCACAATGAATTAGTGAGCATAATTCAGAAGGGAAACAATTCGCTTTTGCATAAAGAATCTTCTTCAGTAACATAATCTCCACCCAGCAGAAACCAAACTCTTGAGTCACACTAAAAGTACACAAATATGCAAGGACTGCAAGAAAGATAAATGTCACTTCTGAAACTTACCAGTATTCAAGACTAGGCTCTGATGATTTATCCTCCTCTGACAATATAAAGTAAACAAAATCTTCGTAACCCATCTTCCCTTCAACTTTACTGGTGAACTT